CAACCCAGGCATGTACCCTGACCAGGAATCAAACCATGATCTCCTGGATCATAGGTCGATGCTCAACTGCTGAGCAATGCCTGGCCAGGCTGACCTGGTGTTTTTTAATTGAGAAGATCCAATGGGCTGCAGTGAAAGTGTGGAGGAAAGCAAAACTCCCTTAAAAGTGTAGTCTAGCCCTAGCCAGTTTTGCTCAGTGGTTAGAGCTTCGGCCTGCGACTGAAGGGTCCCAGGTTTGATTCGGGCCAAGGGCATGTACCTCAGTTGCAGGCTCGATCCCCGGCCTTGGTTGGTGCATGATCAGGAGGCAACCAGTCAATGTGTGTGTGTGTCTCTCTCCCCCTTCCACTCCCTGAAAAGTAATGGAAAAAATATCCTCGGGTGAGAACAAAAAAACAAACAAACAAAAAAACCTGGCTGGTGTGGCTTAGTGGTTGAGCATTGACCTATGAACCAGGAGGTCAGGCTTTGATTCCCGTTAGGGCACATGCCCTACTTGCCCACTCGATTCCCAGTGAGGGCTTGCAAGGGGCAGCAAATCAATGACTCTGTCTTATCATTGATGTTTCTCCCCTCTATCTGAAGTTAATAAATAAAATATAGTTTTTAAAAAGTGTTAGTCTATCTGGGCCCACACCTACCCTACCCACCAGGAGCTGCCAGATAAGAGGTTTTCAGTCCAACTTCTGACGTGCTACATTTATCATGCTCCTTGTCTCTGGTCTCTCCTTGGTTACCATACAAGATGGAGACCCCAGAAGCCATCTGCTCTCTCTCATCCCTATATCTCCACCCTAACCCAGTCTCTTACCTTTGCCTTTCCACTACAACATAGTTAACAATCTCTATATGCACAACCATTCTCTCCTTTCCTTGTTTTAACTGACACCCCCGTCATCCGGCTATACCTCTCTTCTACCCATTACACCCTTCCCTTCATTGTTGAAGATTAAGGTCTGTCCCTATCCTCTTGTACTCCCTCTAGACGGGTTCTGCCATCCTCAGCTCTTTATTGTTCTTATGAACATCATCCACTTGTCTTCCTCATCTTCATAGATTTTTCCCACCAACTCCCTTGATTATACCCAAGAACTCTCCTTGAAAGCTTTTTTGAACCACACCAGCTGCCTTCCCACTGTCTGAGTAGAGTGGACATGGGTTGACCACAGTGCTATGGGGAACTACCCCTCTACCTAGCTCAATCTGTAGTTCATTAGCAGATTCGCGCTGCCTGACTCCAAAACTAGACCCACAACCTAGCCACAGTAATAAGCTTAGTAGTAGGTGACAAAATTGGACCAGTCAGAGCCAGTGAGCGCCAGGTCTTGGGACTTTGGAGCAAGAGAAGCCTTCATTTCTCTGATCTTGAAGCCAGGGAAATACAAAGTGTGGCTAGGGAATTGGGAGTGTATCTTAATGAAAGAACTTGACAGAGAATGAAACCAACCCAGAAGAAAGCTGAGCCAAAAGATAGGAGAAACAGTATTGTGTTTCCTCAAAAACTTAAACATAGAATTACCATATGATCTAGCAATTGAAAGAGATTGCTTGCACACCCATGTTCACAGCATTATTCACAGTAGCCAAAAAATGGAAGCAATCCAAGTGTCCATCAATGGACGAATGGATAAACAGTGTATATTCATACAGTGGAGTATTATTTAGCCTTAAAAAGGAAGGAAATCCTGACACATGTTACAACATGGATAAACCTTGAAGGCATTATGCTAAGCGAAATAAGCCAGTCACAAAGGAGTCAAATTCACAGAGACAGAAAGAATGGTGGGTTCTGGGGGAGGGGGAATGAGAAATTGTTTAGTGGAGACAGAGTTTCAGTTGGGGGAGATGAAAAGAGTCCTGGAGCTGGATGGTGGTGATGATTGTACAACAATGTGAATGTACTTAATACCACTGAACTGTACACTCAAAAATGGTTTAGGTAGAGAAAAAAAAAAGGAAGAAAAAAATGGTTAAGGTTGTAAGTTTTATGTGTATTTTATGACAATTTTTAAAATTAAAATTAAAAATGGAGTGAAAGTGAAGCTAAGTTGTGGCCACATCATTTGAGCCCCAGGATGTTGACACTTGTGGGGTAAAAATACACATAGCCAGACACAGTGATGCTGTCATTTGGGCCATGTGTGGGACCCTAACCACCTTAGCATCATCATCTTTACATGCCAGCAGCCAGAAGGCTTTGAGCATGCATAAAAGACAGAGAACTTTGGTCTTGGCTGGTATGGCTCAGTGGTTATAGTGTCCGCCGTGCACCGAAGGGTCTTNCCCTCTACCTAGCTCAATCTGTAGTTCATTAGCAGATTCGCGCTGCCTGACTCCAAAACTAGACCCACAACCTAGCCACAGTAATAAGCTTAGTAGTAGGTGACAAAATTGGACCAGTCAGAGCCAGTGAGCGCCAGGTCTTGGGACTTTGGAGCAAGAGAAGCCTTCATTTCTCTGATCTTGAAGCCAGGGAAATACAAAGTGTGGCTAGGGAATTGGGAGTGTATCTTAATGAAAGAACTTGACAGAGAATGAAACCAACCCAGAAGAAAGCTGAGCCAAAAGATAGGAGAAACAGTATTGTGTTTCCTCAAAAACTTAAACATAGAATTACCATATGATCTAGCAATTGAAAGAGATTGCTTGCACACCCATGTTCACAGCATTATTCACAGTAGCCAAAAAATGGAAGCAATCCAAGTGTCCATCAATGGACGAATGGATAAACAGTGTATATTCATACAGTGGAGTATTATTTAGCCTTAAAAAGGAAGGAAATCCTGACACATGTTACAACATGGATAAACCTTGAAGGCATTATGCTAAGCGAAATAAGCCAGTCACAAAGGAGTCAAATTCACAGAGACAGAAAGAATGGTGGGTTCTGGGGGAGGGGGAATGAGAAATTGTTTAGTGGAGACAGAGTTTCAGTTGGGGGAGATGAAAAGAGTCCTGGAGCTGGATGGTGGTGATGATTGTACAACAATGTGAATGTACTTAATACCACTGAACTGTACACTCAAAAATGGTTTAGGTAGAGAAAAAAAAAAGGAAGAAAAAAATGGTTAAGGTTGTAAGTTTTATGTGTATTTTATGACAATTTTTAAAATTAAAATTAAAAATGGAGTGAAAGTGAAGCTAAGTTGTGGCCACATCATTTGAGCCCCAGGATGTTGACACTTGTGGGGTAAAAATACACATAGCCAGACACAGTGATGCTGTCATTTGGGCCATGTGTGGGACCCTAACCACCTTAGCATCATCATCTTTACATGCCAGCAGCCAGAAGGCTTTGAGCATGCATAAAAGACAGAGAACTTTGGTCTTGGCTGGTATGGCTCAGTGGTTATAGTGTCCGCCGTGCACCGAAGGGTCTTGGGTTTGATTCCTGGTCAAGGGCATGTACCTGGGTTGTAGGTTTGATCCTGCACCTGTGTGGGGGATGCAACCAATCAATGTCTCTTTCTCCTTTCCCTCCCTCCCTCCCTACCACTCTCTCTGAAAATCAATGGAAAAATATCCTCGTTGAGGATTAACAAAAACAAAGAGACAGGGAACTTAAATGCTAATAGTTGCTAACACTGTGCACTTTCCCCCAGGGTGGGCACTGTGGGAAGCCCTTTACCTTCATTCAGTTGTTCCATGCCTGTATACTGAGTGCCTGCTGTGTACCAGGCACTCTACCCTGCCCTGGGATAGGTAGTAAAGAAGAGACAAGACCTGGATCCCCTTTGAGCTGACATTCTGGGTGAGAAGGCTGTAAGTGAAAACATAAATAATTGCAGATTGTGACAAGTGTTATGAAGAAAATAAACTGTGACGTGGTTGTCACTAAGACAGGCCAACTTTAGATCAGCAGGGAAGGCTTTCTGGAGGAGGTGATCCCAAAGCTGAAAGTAGAAAGATGAGCTAGCCATGCAAACAGCCAGGTGGAGAGCATTTCAGGCACAAGCCCTGGGTCAGAGTAGCTGGATGAACCAGCAAGGGGAAGGTGATGGGGCAGATGGTACAGGGCCTTGTTTGGCTTGCACTGAGTAAGGTGGGAGCCATGGAGGGTTCTCAAGCAGAAAAGAGATATGAACCCAGTTGTTCACAGGTCCCTTTCTGCACCTGTGGGGGAAATAGTGGAGGCAGGGGCACCATGACAGGAGCTAGGGACCAGGGTGAGGACTATTCTGGTCCAGGTGAGTAATAATGGGGGCTGGAGGCTAAAGATGGGAAGTGGGCAGGTTTACAAAATATTTTGAAGGTGGGGCTAACAGGAGCTGGGGTAAGGAAAAAAGCATACTCGAAGGCTGGAGGTGAACAGAGAACATTAGTATAGGTTAGTGGGTGGGGGTTTTGGGGTCAAGGAAACCTGGGTTCAAATGCTTTCTTGGCCCCTTTCCTGCTGGCTGCGTAACGTTTACACGTCACAACCTCTCCACCTTAATTAATGGGGAGAGAAGTACAAGTAATGGATGGTATGTAGATAGGAAGTATTAAAAAAAAAAAGGGGGGGTATTTAAGAAAAAATTCCAAGTAAGGGGATATAGGAGGAAAAAAGGCAGTTAACATGGCGAGGCACTTGGCTCAGAGGTCACGGTGACTGCTGGCAGCAGGGGGCAGCAGCGAGCCTCCAGACAGCCAGGCAGGGTGCAGCTTTCCAGGTCCAAATGAGCTACACCAAACTGTGGCGCCTGGGGTGCCTGGGCCAGGGGACAGAGCAAGTCTGGGGCCAGTGTCCAGGCCATGTGACTGAGGAGGGGGGGCCAGAGGTGGACAGCCCATGGCCGCCTTCTGGAGTCTAGGCACCAGAACCTAATAAGGGACATTTGTTCAGGAGAAACCTGAGCTGCTTGCACGGTGGAATTCAAGCGGAGGCAGGGGCCAGCAGACAGGGCTTCCCGGCCCTTCCCCTAAATACAGTCACCCCAGCTCAGAAAATCCTAGGGCTGTAAGAGCTGGGGTTCTCCTTACCAGCCTCCCACTGCCCCCACAAACACTACAGGCTCAGGCACTGTTACAATAGGCACTTTATTTGTGGTTGGAATGCAGTTACACGCAGGGGTGTGTGGACAGAACAGGGGAGGGAGGAGGACTGGCAACAGGGACAAGACATGGAGACCCCGAGCAGGAATTTCTCCCTCTCCGGGATCCTGAAACGGTGCTGATGAACAAAGACATGAAGTCCGGGGCCTTAGGATATGGCAAAGAGGAAACCAGGAGACCAGGTCCTGAGTTCAACAGATTTGGCAAAAGAATCCTCAAGATGAGGTGGCTGGGCAGGGGGGGCCCGGTGTGCACATGGCATCTGCCCTGCACCCCTTCCCTGAAATTGTCCCTTGGGTGGATTCAGTTTCTTTTCTCTCTTACAAAGAGAGCTGTGTCAATAACTGGCAGAGGAAGGGGAGAAACTCAGCTCAGCTCCTCCAGCCAGCCAGCCAGCCAGCCAGCCAGCCAGCCAGCCAGCCAGCAGGTTTCTATTAGGCAGCTATTAGTGGTCTCCTCCCTCCTGCTCAAAGCAGCCTCCCAGAATAGCCTCACTCCCTCATCTTCCATCAACAAACAGGGTGCATTGCTCTCCCCCCACCCCATGGAGACACCCCCACCTGGGCACGCATACCATACCCAACTGCAGCCATACCAGATAACAGAAGGCACTCCTCACTGGCCCCAATCTCAGCTGTTGAGACAGACAGAAAAAGCTAATAGACCCTTTAATGCATAGCCAGGTTTAAAAAAATAGTAAAGAAACACATGTGGCGGCCTGTGAGCCAATTGTTCAGCTATGGAGAAGGGACTCAGTCCTGGCTTGAGCAGATACAAACGAGGCCTTTAGGAGCTGGAGCTTACTGTGGCCATCCCACCATAAGAAGGAACAGAAAACTTGAGGCAGCCCACAGAGGTTGGGCCCCATCCCGTGCCAGACACATCAGGAGCCCTCAAAGGACTTCTTCCCATCCAGGCTGGTGAGGGCTGGAGTGATTCGTTGAGCAGTCTTGTGGGGGCCACCATGAAAAGTCTGACTGCCCCTTGGCATAGGGAGGAGATGCCACAAGTCCTCCAGGTCCCTGGAAACTGGTGGTAACTGGATGATGGGGGGTGGCAGTGACAGGACTTCAGGTCAGCCCAACGGGCTGGGGGTTCTGACCCAGCTGCCGAGCACCCAGTGTGAGACTTTACAGGAAGGTGGGGGAAGGTGGGGACTTTAAGACTCTGCCGGCTTCTTGTTGGTCTTGTTCAAAAGCTTCTTGAGATTGGAAGACATGAAGTAAGGCCTCTCGGCCGAGCCATCATTCCTCTCCAGGTCCTCCACTGTGGAGAGAGACCCCAAAGCAGGTGGTATGAGGGGAGCTCAGGCAGGGGCCTCTGGGGACAAAGCAGGCAGGGGCCACAGAAGCCTCAGAGGGTTAGGAAGCAAGACACACTGGGACTGGAGAGGGGCAGACTATAGTGGGCTCAGGAATGGGACACACACGCGTTCCCCACACTCCCAGGCAAGGAAGCCCCGCATGCATCCCCGGTCTACAGGGAGGAAATGAGGAGGCCTGCCAGGCCACAAGCTGGCCTCCCTCCTTCTCTACTCCTCCTACTCCTCGACTTCTGCCTGCTTCCCCTCCTCCGCACTCCCCTTCAACAGGATGTCTCTCAGCTCAGGCGACATGAAGTAGGGTCGCTCCTGAGAGCCGTCATTCCTTTCCAGGTCCTCACCTGGGCTCCCCCCAGGAACCGGCAGGGGAAAAAATGGGGTGGTCAGGAAGGGAAGGAAAGAGGGAGGCAGGGAAGAACAGGGAAGCCAGCAGGCATGGAGGAGAGGAAGAGAAAAGAGAAAACAAAAACAAAAACAGACAGATTGAGAGACCAGAGTTAGTGGCAGCCATATTACCCCCCAACAAAGCTGAAGCCAAGGGCCCAGGGGCAGAGCGTTCCAGCTGCAGCCTGAACCAGGGGACAATAGGATGGAGCAGCTCTGAGAGCAGGGAGGAAGCTGAGAGGGCATGCCAGGGCCCTAGGTAAGGGACACCTAGTCCCTGGGAAGCTGGGGGCATCCAGCAGGTAAATGTGTAGCTCTATGGGAAGATGTTCTACCCAGAGGGGGGAAGGGAGTCAGGGCCCAGCAAGGGTAGGGGTGAGGGGTCACTCACAGAAGCAGAGGAACAATGTGTCCACACACATGCCATAGACGCTGAAGAATCCATGGGCAATCAGGTAGGAGCCAATGATCACAGTCTGGGCGAGGGGACAGGAGCTGTTTCTATCCCAACTCCAGCCCAGGGTAATTCCGACCCACCCAGTCCCTCCCAGGCAGGGACCACTTCACTTCTATGCTAATAAGCCCTCCTTAGAATAACAACCTAACTCCTTACTCCTGTGGGCAGAGCCCTATCATCCACAGCACATTCTTTGCTCTCTTCAACCCCAGGGCCTTTTCACATGCTGTAGCCCTGACTCAGAAGTAGTTATTATGCTTCCTCATTATTCCGCTTTAAGTTCAAACATCAAGTCCTCAGGTACCACCTCCTCCAAGGAGCCACCTCTGACATCTAGACCCTGTTTTATACTCTCCTAGTACTGAGCACCCCTCCTCTGAGATCTTCATCTGGCTGCAATTTTATGCATGTTTAGGACATTACAGGTTTACTGCCCACATTCTCACTAGACTGTATCTGTCTTGATTATTTTGGTGACACACAAGGCCTTGGTAGGTACCTGATAAACATTTATTGACTGAAGTGAGTGGACCTTAGAGAGATTAAATAACTTGCCCAAAGTTACACATCCTAGAACTAGCAAAGAAGACTAAAATAAAAATCTAGGTCACAGGGCTCCAAGGCCTGCACTCAGATTTTGTGCTTCTTAGGGGTGATGACCTAACCCCTTCAGGGCCTGTTACCTCCCCGCCCTGACCTCCCTCCACATCCTCCCTTCTTCACTTCCTCCATACCAGTCACAGCTATTTCTTCACTGCTCTGGTATGGTCCTACCTCAGAGCCTCTGTCCTTGTTCCCCATGCCTGGTTATTGCCTGTATCTCCTTCAGATCTTAGATCTGACATCACTTCCACAGCGAAACTGCCTGGACTCCCAGACCTGCAAAAATCTTCCACCACAGGCTCCAAAAGTTCCCTAGAATTCTGCCCTGTGGCACGTACCAGTTTGCAATCTCGTATCCACCCATATCATTATTGATTAATGTCTATTTGCCTCTAAACTATAAGTCCTCTAGAAGGAAGCCCTTCCTCCTTCTGTGCGTGGTACACAGTAGGTGCTTAATAAATGTTTGTGGGAATAAATAACCAATCTCCTACTTCTGACCCCCACCCGTATCAGTCCAGTCAGAGGGGGGCAGGTGAGTCCCAACACCTCCTTCTCCCCTGACACCCGCCCATCCCCAAAGTTCCATACCAGTATAGGGACCCAGTAATAATTGAGAGGGGGTGCTGTGTCTTGTATGATCCTAATGCGGTGGGTGAAGAAGAAGAAAGCCAGGATTCCTGGAGAGGGGGAGAAAATGGAGATGGTTGAGGGTTTTGGCTAAGGGCAGTAGCCCCCCCCCCCCGAACACCCAACCACTACAGAAGACATGGGGAGCCCACAGACCAAAAGGCTCCCACAGTTAGACAGGCTGGATGAGCAGCACTCACCCACGCTACCCACAACCAGAAGTTTGCCCAACAGGAAGAGGAAGTCAGTAACTTTGTCCAGGACAGCCACTCTGCAAGGGAGAGTGAGGAGCAGGTGTGAACGTTGGCTCAGGGACCAGGGGTGGAGGGAGGTGGCAAGAGGATGGTGTTTTCCCAGACCTGATGATGTTTCTCATCAGCAGGAAGAAGGCGTTCTTGGCTGAGGTGCAGAAGTTGGTACCATAGATGGCAATCTGGAGAGAGGTAGACGGGAAGAATCATGTCCCCTAGGTGGGAATGTGGGCTCCTCCCACCCAGTAGAAGCTGGTGGGCTGGTTATGGGTCCGAGGCCTACTCACCATGATGTAGGCATTCCTGTTGAGGAATTTGATGAATTTCTCCAGGCACCAGAAGCAGCATTTGAGACAGGTCATGAGGAACTTGGCAAACTTGTTGTCCGCAGCTGGGTGAGAATGGAGGGATGTGAAGGGGAGGGGATACCCCCTACCTCCTCATTACACACACTTGCCACAGTGCAGGACTCCCAGAGCCCACCTTCTCAAAGAGACAAGGAGAGGAGCCTCCTTGATTCAGGATCCTTGGGGGGCATGTTCCCAATGAGGGACCCAAGTCTGAAGCTTTTCAATCCAACCTCCAAGACAGGAACCAATCACAACCCACACCACTGCTCTGGCCCCGCCTCCCACACTGACACTAATCTTACAGACTTCCATGGTACAACCAATCCCAGCCCCAACAGCCCCTCTCTGACAAAGAAAGTCAGAGAGGTCTTAGAAAGTCAGAGAAGTCTTAGCCCCGCCCTCCTCGGTGCAAACAAACCCCAGCCCAACTCTCTCTTCAGGAACCAATAGTGGCCTATAGGCCCAGCCTCCTCAGGGGTAAGAATTCCACCCAGTGGGCTCGCAACAGCTCCTCCACAGCAGGAACCAATCACCCAAGCCCTTTAGCTCCACCCCACCCTTAGTTAGAAACCAATCACTGTCCCACACAAACCTCGCCCTCAAGCAAGAACCAATTCCGATCTGCCCCACAGTCCCGCTTCCCCAATTTAAGGCCAAAGCCCACAGCATTTGGGCCTCACCTTTCAGGCGCTGATCCAAGTACTCCAGCACCACTCGGATGATCTGCACAATAGCCAGAATGAGGGCACCAAAGGCCAAGGAGCCTGTGTGGTACCTGCAGGCCAAGGGCATGGTCAGTGGCTGTGCCAGGCCTCCTCCACCCCATCTCACCCCCATCCCCAGACCACCGGGGTTCCCACCTGAGGGCCCGACTGAAGGCGGAGAAGAGTGGAAAGGCAGGCAGGTCATCTGGCTTGTGCAGGGCCCAGTAGTAGGAAGCGAAGGCCCCAGCTAGTGTGACCTGGCCCAGAGCCAGCACGAAGTTGGCCAGCCAGAAGAACATGAATGCATTGAATATCTGCAGGCCCAGCAGGGCCCGGTGGTAAGCTGACTCACCACCATAGAAGGCGAACTGGCAGTAGGCTCCAGGGCATAGGCGGGACTCATTGGAGGAGGGGAAGGTCTGTGGGAGGGATGCAGAGCCCAGTCACAACACACAGACCCGGGGTGCAGAGTGGGCTCTTGGCATCAGGTCTGGGTCAGCTATACCATGGGGTGGGACAGGAGTCATGGGAATTAGAGTTAAGCCAAGGGGTTGGGGGTTCAGGATTGGGACTTACAAAGGAGGTTCTAGAAGCAAGACTAGGGATCATGGAACGGACTCAATGGGTGTCAGTGAGGCAGCATAGGTTATTTTGGGGATCAGGGTGGGGTCATGTGTCAGTGGAGTGGCCACATGGACAGGACAAGAGTGGCAGAGATCATCATGAAGACCACAGAAGTCAGGATAGGGGCTTGTGGAAGGCAAGGAAGGAGTTCTAGAAGCAAGAAATGGCCATCACTGGGTTAAGAGAGGGTTGTGGGAGCTCCCAAGTTGGATCTCTTCCCCTCCATGCCCCCCATATCAAGTTGGATCTCTTCCCCTCAATGCCCCCCATATCCAGCACAGGGCAGACGGCAGGCACTGTCTGTTGAATGGCCCCAAAGTTGGGATGAGAGGTTTCAGATCCTCTATGGGCTGCTGGGAAATAGCTGCCCCCACCTCTGGAAACCCACCTCAGGGTTACAGGTTTTCCCAATAACTGGGCAGGTGGTGATATCATCAAAGATTTTATAAATGGCTTCGTTGGAAGTGGACAGGAAGCTGGAAGCTTGTTAAGGAAATTGAGGTCTAAGATTAGGGACCCCAGGGGCTTGTGGGAAAGAATCCCTTCCCCTACCAAGCTGCAGGTCACTTCCAGGCAAGTTTGGTCTTTAGCCATCCCCGGGAATTGGGGTCTGACAATGGATACACAGCAGTGCTGGCCCAGTAGGCGATGCAAAGGCACAGCAGGAAGAAGGTGACCAGTGGGTACAGCATGGAGCACATCACATATCCCACAGCCCTGGGGAGGAACAGAGAGATGGGCATCAGGGACAGAGCAGCCCTGAGATCACCCCCCCTCACACCCTCACACCCACCTGCTGGCTTCTTTGATGAGTGCAATGGCGATGAGAATCCTCTTCCGTAGAAAGATGAGCAACAAGATGATAATAACCTCAAGTATGCTCAGAATTATCACTGTAGGGGGCAGAGGGTAACCAAGTCTGCCAGTTGCCTGAGCACCCACTCCCTCCCACGCCTAACTGAGGGCAAGAATGGGGGGTTGGGACTCACTGAAGGCCATCCAGGTCTGCCGCAAGTGCAGGTACACACGGAGGTCTGTCTGAAAGCCAAGGTCCACCAGGGAGATGTCGGAGCCGGCTTCACCACGCAGTCGGGAGTACTCCATGTAGCAATGAAATATACCTGCACAGAGGAATCGCCATGCTACAGCCCTCCGACTGCTCCTCCAATGTAGCAAAGCAGGCACAACCACCCCGATTTAACAGAAGCAAAAATGGAGGTTGAGAGGGGCTGCCATTGTTTGCTCCTGCCTCAGGGTCTTTGCACTAGCTCTTCCCGCTTCCTGGTACATTCTCTCCCCAACAGATCCTTCACATCCTCTGGCGCTGAAATGTCACTTTTTCATGAGACCTTCCAGAAACCTTTCCCCTTTTTAGAATCTTACCCTCTCACACTCCAACTTCTTATCCCCCTTCTCTGCTTTGACATCCTAGAGGATTTTCTGGTTTGCTTCTTGTCCATCTGCTCCATACCCCCAGGAATATAAGCTCCACAGGAGCAAGGATTTGTCCTGTTTTATTCATTGCTATAATCTCAGCACCTAGAAAACTGCCTAGGACACAGTAGGTACTCTGTACATGTTTGATGAATGAATGAATGAATGAATGAATGGTGTCAGGATGCTGTGTGGCCTGCGCTTTCCTCTGACCCCCTTGAGACTCTGTAACAATGATTCATGGGTAGTAAGGGAGGACATGGGTGTCAACATCCAGTGGGGTAGCATTAGGGATTTTCAGCATTCCTCTTAGCTCTTTGTAGAAGAAAATTGTAAAATACAAAGTCAAAAAAAAAAAGTCTAGTTGCCCAACATGCTAGCATCCAGCTAGAAAACACTATTAACATGAATATTTTAATATCCATGTCCTCAGATTGGATTGTATATCAGGCCATCTTTCCAACTGGGAAGTTTAAAAGAGTAATCAGGCCCTGGTCAGTGTGGCTTAGTTGGTTGAGCACCAAAAGGTCGCCAGTTCAATTCCTGGTCAGGGCACATGCCCAGGTTGTGGGTTCAGTACAGGAGGCAACCAATCAATGTTTCTCTCTCACATCAATGTCTCTCTCTCTGTCTCCCCCTATCCCTTCCTCTCTCTCTCAAACCAATAAAAAATATTTTTTAAAAAGAGAAAAGCCTCTATAAAAAAGAATAATTAGAATATAAAGCACTGGGTTTTGAGCTTGGCCTCTGGGTTCCTTAGGCCTCAGTTCTCCCATCTCCTCCACATACTGTCTTCTTCTCATTAAGCTTCCTAACTAGTAAATATTAATTATCCCCATTTTATAGAAGAAGAAATTGAAGCACAGGGAAGTTGACTCACTTGTTCAAGGTCACAGACTGAGGAGTTGGCAGAACTGACATTTGAACCCCCAGCTTTCTGGTGCCAGAGCATGTATCCTTAGCCACTGTCCTAAGTAGTCTACTTGCGAATGAATGCCTTTTGGCGTTGATAAAATACAGATCCAGGCCCCAGTTTGGAAGACTATGGTTTAGCCAGATGCTGGTTGTTTTCCAGCATCTGCTGTCATAAACAACAATAAAATTAATATCTTCACAAATACGCCAAGTAAAAGGTAGAGGACGTCTGATGGTTTAGAAGATGCTTGATGGGCCAGTGCCAGGTCAAAGGGCAGGAGCATTTTGTAGACTATGGGGAGGGGAGTAGGAAAGCAGGGGGGGAGACGCACCGTAGCCCAGTACCAGGATCACCATGACGATCATCACCCAGACCATAATGCCAGCCAGGAAGCGGAGCAGCACGATGAACAGGAGGCTCATCACCATGGCGATGACCAGGCCTCTGGGGGATAAAATGGGCACAGGAGTGGTCCCCACCCTCCTACCAGCTTCAGAATGCCCAGCCCAGAAAAGGCCACCATCCCTCTCATCTTACATGACAATCCAGTACCAGGAGACAGTATAATCTTCAAATATCCTCATGGCCAGCTGCCGAGCCTCCAGGACTCCATTGGCCTTCCTGGGACAAGGCATACAAGGGTAGTGTCAGACCCCTCCCTGATTGGTCCAGCCCCAAGGGGATGCTCTGTCCCACCCAGGAAAGCGCAATGCCAGTATGGTGGGCAGCAGTCCTCACTTGGCACCCTCAACCAGCTCAGTGATGTTTTTCCGAACGCCGTCCCCATCCTCATAGGTCGTCTCGTTGCCCACCATGAGGACCCCCTTGTGGGCATGGATGGCTGGGAAGCATCGTCGGGCGACTGCATGGAGCAGGGGATGGGACAGGAGTCAAGCTGAGTCCCTGACACCTCCCCACACCCTACCTAAGCTCACAGGACCCCAGACTCACGGGGTGTGCTAGGAATGAGGACAGGGGGGCAGTCGCCATCCCGAAGCACCTGAGCCACACCCTGTCGAGAGAGGGGACAGTTAATCCCCCATACCAGCACTCTCCACATGGCCCTGCCTAGGCTCCCCTCACCTTGTTGTTCTGGAAGCCGGACACGCAGAACTGCTTGTAGTACTCAAAGTCCTGGGAACTGCGAGCATTCAGATAGGTGAGGTATCGATTGGGGCACTTCTCCACGCAGATCTTGGGGGGGCGGGCACGAGGCAGAGTTGGGTGGGGTCAGACACCTGATCCCCACTCAAAACACAAGTTCCACCTCCCATTCACCACAGAAAAAGAAAAAGCTAGGTGAGAAGCCATCACTACAGGGGGAAAAGGACCTGGTGATGGAAATGGGGGACAGAGAAGGGGATGGGGAGGGGACAAGTTACCTGGGGGGTGGGACACTGGAATTCCAGGAGGACCAGGGGGCTGGCACACTTCACAATGTTGAAATAAAACAGGTAGGGTTTGTTCCTGGGGTTGGGGGAGGGAGATGAAAACTGTCAAGACTTCTCAACCACCCTATATAAAATATCTTAATGAAGACAACAATAACTACAGCAGCAACATGCCAGGTGCCATGCTAAGCTCTGCACACATATAGGCTCATCTAACCATCACAACAGCCCTATTAGAGTGGGACTATTATAACCCACATTTTGGAGATGAGAAAAATAAGGCCCAGAGAGGTTGAGAAACTTGCCCTAGGTGACACAGCCAGGGAGTGACACAGCCCTCACTTTTACAGGTAAAGGAACTCCCTCTTTTACCTCAGCTGTTCATCACCACCTGACATCAAATCCAATAACATCTCCTCTCTGTCTCTCCCCTAAAACGTGGTCCTCCAGAGAACAAGACTCTTAATGTCTCATTTAATGTGGTGTCCCCAAGGCCTAGAACAGCGGCTCAGGATGGTGGGAATTTTATAAATATTTGTTGACTAGACTAATGGATGGATGAAGGTGGGAGATGCCCAGAACCTTCTCCTCAGAGCTCATGAAGCCCTTCTGCCCACTCTTCCCCAGACCCACCAGGCAATAAGGAGCCAAACTTACGCATTTTTCGTGCCCTTCTGCCCGCAGAACTCGCCTCGGCTATCAGTGGGGTAGATCACCTTTCGGGGGTCTCCATGGGTCCAAGCTGTGGAGGAATCCAGACGCTGAGGCACTGCCTGCCACTCTTCAGCACCAGCCCCACTCCGGCCCCGAGGCTGTGGCTTGCACTCGCACCCTGGAATCCCAAGTCCTGTCCCCTCCTCCACTCACCTATGATCCCTACAGCCACATAGCCCACGATGGCCAGGAGGAGGAACACACAGCAAATGATGTCTGTGCAGCCCCTGGGAGCAAGGAACAGTGTAAGGGTGGGAGCCTTGGTGCCCCGAGTATTACAGACCCATTGTACCCTGCACACACACTCACACCCATGTGTTATTCGGACACATGTTGCTTAGTTATGCAAATGCTATACCAGAGGGCATGTGCATTTTAAATTATAATATGTAATGGTACACTGTCCTCAAAGCAGGTTGCAGCAATGTGCAGCTCTCTTTTGATTGAGCACGTCCATTTCCCCACATCTTTACCAGCATTACATATTAATGTGTTTTGTGGTTTTTTAATTTAAACTATTTTTATAAGATTAAATATGATTTTGGTAAAAAAATAGATGAGACCTGGCCAGGTAACAGTTGGTTAGAGCATCATCTCCACATGCCAAGGTTGCAGGTTCAATCCCCGGTCAGGGCACATACAAGAATCAACCAATGAATTCATAAATAAGTGGAACAATAAATTGATGTTTCCTCTCTTTCTCTCTACAAAATCAATAAAAGTTTTTAAAAATATAAAACCACAAAATGGGAATGTATATAATAAAGAAGTCTCCCCCCACCCACACACACTCCTGCCTCTAAGTAACCTGTTAATGATTTCTTGTGAGTCCTTTGGGTTATTAGGTATAAAAAAAATTTTTTTTTCTTAACTCAAGTGTGATATGATACACCTACTGTTCTGTGTCTTGCTTTTTTGCTTAATATATTAGGGGATCCATATCATCACTTAGGACTCTTGTACATTTTTTGTTGTAATCCTCATCAAGGAAGGATATTTTTCCATTGATTTTTAGAGAGAGTGGGGGAGGAGAGATAGAAACATCGATGTGAAATTGAATCCAAAACCCTTTGGTGCTTGGGCCGATGCTCTAACCACTGAGCAACACCAGCCAAGGCAGGACTCTTGTACATTTTAACAGCTGTGTAATATTAACCTAAGGATCCAGCTAACTAGTTGATGAACATTCAGATGGTTGGATTTTTGCCATTTTAAAAAAGGAAGCTATTTCATACATTTTTGTCCATGTGTGCAAGGTTTATGAAAAAAATTTTTCCCTATAATTTTAATCTTTGGAACAAAAAGCTACATTTAAAATGTTCATATTTCCAAATTTCCTCGAAAAAAACTGCAACAATTATTTTCAGAGCAGAACCTGTGTGTTAATCTACTTAATCTTTGCTAATCTGTGATAGGAAATTCTATTTGGTTATTGGTTATTGTTTTAAGTTACATTCCTTAGCTTTCCAGTGAGTTTGAGCATTTTTCCATAACTACATTGTCTGCAGTATTTTTTGTTCCAGTCTTTTGCCCGAGGTGTTTTTTTTCCATTCATTTGTAAGGACTCTTTATATCTTTATATTAAGGTAATTAGTCCTTTTATCGTCAAGTTGCAAATATTTATCACCTGTTTGTTGGAGAACAGATGGGGGAGTGTAAAGAAACAGGGGTGGGACAGTATTAGCAGACACCCCCAGGCCCCCCACAGGAACCCAGAGCCCTTACCTATTGTAAATGGGTCCTTTGAAGGTGGGGTCATACTTCTGTGGAGTTCCTGAAAATCAGCAAGATAGAGCTGGTGGGGTCAAGACGGGGCTGGGAGACCACCCTCTCCCAGGTGCTCCTAGGGGTACCTTTGGCCCCACGAATAAATTTCAGAGACCCCGCAGATTTTCTGCCTCACTCAGCCTCCAGGAGAGGACATGCCCAAGCCCCCAGGAGAGCAGGCCAGGGTTGGGGGAGAAGCTGCTAATCGGATTTACCAGCTGGAGGCCACACACTGGGAAGGGGGCTGGAATGGGGGCCACCTGGGAGCTAGGTGGAGAGGGGAGGGTCCGAAGTGGGAACCCCACAGGAGGACTGGAGAGGGGGCTTCAAGGATGGGCCCTTCGGGTGAAGGGATTTGGAGGGAACTCTGAAGAGGCTCTCCCGGGGAAGAGTGGGGTGAGGGGTGCTGGCGGGTGAAGTGTGTGTGGGGGCGCGCTCCAGGCAGAGATCGGCTTTCCCTCTGCCCCTTCCCAGGGGCCGGGCCCGGTGCAGAAGGGGGGCTGCCTACCGTGCTTTCCGTAGTAATGCTGCCGCTCGCCCCCCATCCCTGCGGCAGCCAGCCCCTCGGCCCGGGGGTCTGGCCTTGTGGGAGTCCGGAGGGAGGGACGGTCAGACCGACCCGCGGCGGCTCCTCCCAGCGAGGAGGTGGGCGGGGCGGGCGGAACC